AAGCTGATTCTATAAGGCGCTGGTGTGATGGCACCGTAAATGTCTGTTATTACCACTCCCTACATGTTTTAGAGTCCCTGAAAAGACACTGCTGAAGGTCACGCTGCTGCTCTGTGTCTTTTTCTCTGCTGTTTTTAATCAGTCCATCATTATTGATCAGAGCTGATGCTGCACCGAGGCGACCGTTGAAAACTGAAGGGAAATAACTTGTAACTCTTAGAGAAAGAAATCCATTTAAAAACTTTTCTCCCTTTGTTTCTCACAGACGTCATCTTTAATTGAATTTTTTGTTTCGTCTCAAGTTCGGCCGACAAAAGACGGTTGCTGTTGGTTAAACACACAAGGCCGCAGCGTAAACGCTAAATTTCATCACTCTGTCATGAGGTGCTCTATAAAATGCAACAAATTGCACCTCACTGGCTCTAATATCAGTATATTACATCAACTCACATTTTAGAACAAAGAAAAAAAACTGTAATAAGTTTAAGTCATGTGACACGTTTTTATTATCTATATGTGTATAAGAAATCTTTTAATATTGCATTTCTTATCCGTTTGTTTAAAGCAAGGCCACTCTGCATGATATGATGTATATGATATGATAATCCATGATATTACTGTCTGCTTCACTGTTTCACCCAGAAGTAATTGGTATTATTTTACCTTTTGACGAAATAAAAAAGGAGCTGATCTTCCCTCTGACTTTTAATCAGTGTGCAGAAAGACACCCCCCCCCCCACCCACCCCCGAATTACAACACACTGGGTGTGACTTGGAAATGGAGATGGGACACAAATGTCAATATAAATAGACGGTGTTGCAAAAGAAAATATATGGATGGACGATGGACTAATGGCATCAATAACTCGTCAAAAAGCAGGTCCAGATCCAGAAAACCTTAGGTGTGTTTATGATCGGACTTTAAGCAGAAATACTGTCAGATGATAGAAAAATTAAAAACCCAGTTAGCTCTAATAATTAAAACAACGTACACTTCCCGACCAGAAAGATGGAATTCAGTAAAGAAACAGGAACGCATCTTGCAGGAACAAAAGCAGCTTACTGTAAAGTCCATCCATCCATCCATTTTCTTTTACCCGCTTATTCCATTTTGGGTCACGGGGGTCGCCCATGTCCAGCAATCACTGTGCAAGGGGCGGGGTACACCGTGGACGGGTCGCAAGTCCATCACAGGGACACATAGAGACAAACGAGACAAACAACCATTCACTCTCTCACTCACACCTAGGGACAATTTAGAGTTACCAATCAGCCTAACATGTATGTTTTTGGTCTGTGGGAGGAAACTGGAGTACCCGGAGAAAACCCACGCATGCACGGAAAGAACATGCAAACTCCACCCAGAAAGGCCCCCGGACCGGGGTTTGAACCAGGGACCTGCTTATTGAGAGGCAGCAGCTCTACCAGTTGTGCCACCATGCTGCCCCACTAAAAAGTCAACATTTCAAAATCTAAGTTTTTTTGTTTGAAATGAGAAAAATGTTCTGATCAAAAGTAAAATGTCCTCAAATGATCACAGAGACGTTCAAATGCCTGTGATTGAACTTCTCAAGATACTTCCACCAACAGTCAGGTGAGCATCTCTGGAAAAACACAGCAGATACTGAAAAATGACTTCCACAACAGGAGCTAAAACAATTAAAGCTTCTTATTCCTTCAGTGATCTCATCTGAAGACACATCCAGTGACCATCGAGAAGACGCCGCTCTGTTACAGTTCTGACTAGGCGGACACAAATTAGTTCTTAAGCTAGTAAAGCCAACATCTCACCGGGCTGCTGAAGACTAGCTGGTGAAAGAATGTCATAATTGTGGGAAAACTGAAACTTGTCGCTGCGGTCTCACCAAACTTTTAACAATTACCACTGTGCAACTTCTGAGTTGTGTGTCTGTGTTTGAGCAGTTTATTTTTGTGTGCACGGCATGCAACGCTGCACTCTTGTTCGTGCACATTATTTTGTTGCCCCTCGGCTCGGTCAGCGCCCATCTTGGCAGCTGCAGACACTTTGGAAGTACCTATAGGTAGATTTGTGGACGTTTGCCTCGGATGTTTTCTGTTAGAAGAGAGCTCCGGTGGAGTCAATGTCCACCGGCGCTGAGGGATTTGAAAAGTGAATGTTTTTAGTTTTCGAGGTGATTGTTTTTCTGGACTGGAATTGAACAGAGAATGAAAATAAACCTTAATGTTTCTGTTGCAAGATATCAAAGTGGGAACTGTGTATTAGAATACTCGTTTTTTTTTTATTATTATTTTATTTTAATTTTGTGACAGATCCTGGCGAGTGGAGGGAGCTATTTTATCCCCCATCAGGTGCAGTGGTGGAGCTCGAGGGTGGCCAATGGTGGCCTTGGCCACCATGGATTAATCTTTGGCCACCCCAAGGGCCACTTCAATCATTTGAGGAAACTATATTTTTAAGCACAATAAAAAAAATGGAAATCATAATTCCCTCAAATAATAGGGGTGTTCAGTTTACATATGATGGTGGCCATCTTGGATTTTGACGTGGCAACCCAATTTCAGTAGTGACCTTTCTTACACCAATTAGGGGTGTCAAACTCACTTACAAAAGGAGGCCAAAATTAAAAACTTGGTTCAAACTAAGGGCCAATTTCAAAAAGCTACATTAACTCAAGTCAGATACCCAAAATCTTCTCTTGGTCACATGTTGCTCAACAAGTTTGACTGGTCCTGTTTGACGTTCTCTGTTGCACTTTACACATCATAATCAAAGATTACTAAAAAAATTCACGTGATAAAAGTATTTTATGTTCAACATAGCATCTTGTGGGCCAGAGAAAATGTCAAAGAGAGCCACATTTGGCACACGGGCCTTGAGTTTGACACATGGGCAGATGTAGCCATTACCAAAATGGAAATTGGACAGATGAGCGAGCAGAGGGTATTTCCAATCCCCTCTCTTTGTTCTGCGGCAGGGGACAAAAATACAGCTCTAGCGCTCCTCAGATGCACTCAAGGTGAGTTGGAGATGCACACAATGATTTTGAGACTATTTAGTAGTTTAATTTTAATTTTTTAAAACACGTTTAAAACAAGACAGGGCTGCATTTCTCTGTGACTAAGTAAGGAAACTCCTTCATGAATATATTTCACCAACCACTCCCAGCCCTGTGAGATACTGCCTTTATTTATTTGTACTTATTCTCTGCTGCATAACAAATTGCCACTCTGATTGCTATTTTCTTAGTTTTGTCTTTAAGTTTGAACTCTACAAACAGATGTTAGCTTTAAGGAAAGGTTTTTAGATGTGCGACTGAACTGCCTTGAGTTATGCTGAGGCTTCTGCACCGGCTGCATTTATGCTATACACAAAACCCCTCGAAATCTATGAATCAAACTACACAGAGCTGTGAGTGCAAACGTGTATATTATCAGTGGCACTACAGAAAACACATTGGCCCTGTTTGTGTGCTTCTTTGAATCATTTGTCAGACTTATTGATTCCTGTAAATCTTGCTTAGAATTGTGGGATGACTGAGCAAATCAATGAAGTTGTGCTTACAGTATAGTGTCATATCTCATGTGTTCCCCTCCGAGGCTGGAATAGAGTAAAAATCTCCACCTAGCCACAGCCACCATCACCTATTTTATCGCTTCATCTCATGTCTCTCACACATCACCAACCACGTGCACGTGCACCAACAGCGCCTAGTGGGTAACTGAATGCCTCTTTTGACGGCTACTTCTCACACACAAACGCATTAAATGCAACCCCAGATGCAGTGACCTGGAGGGACGCGTCGACAAGAGGCGCACAGCGTCGCCCCTGTAATTCCGCCCTCTCTTCCTCGGATGGATCTTATCCCTCACATCTCTAACTGCCATTATCAATCTTCCCTGTGCAGCCTCTGCATCATTAGGTGCGAGTATTTTACTAAGAACACCAACATGGGTTTCAGTCTCTCTACCCTTGCATTCCACTGCAGGCTGGCACGGTGCCAGGCAGCAGCATGCAGCGCAACAGTGCCACCTAAAGCTTCAGTACCACCACAGTCGAGCCTGACCCACTGACAGCCCTGTTCTCCTACATGCACTCTCTCTCTCTCCTCCCTGTATTTGTCCACGTGTGTTCCATTAGATTAAAACTGTGTGTTGTGCAGTGATGCTTTATTAGCAGAAAAATTAATAAGGCTTTGATAAAAGCAGCATGGATTACGTTGAAATTTGAGGCTCATTATTGGCTAATCCTTTTTGAATTGGATGTGTATCAAGTTCCAGACAAGCTTTACTCAGTTTGCTAGTGTGATTTGAGAGAGAGGCATTTAAATCGAGCTCAGATGAGGAAGCAAAGCCTACAGTGACATTCACAAAACCACTGTCGCACACTAATTATTCACTGTTGTTGCTGCAGCAGGTGTTGAAAAGGTTACAAAAGCTTTTGTGGGATTACAACAGACACAAAAATAAAGTGGGGAAAAAAATCAAAATGAAAAAAAAAATACATGAACACATTTGTATGGGGAGAGGGGTGAAAATAGTTTGGTTTTGTGTTTGCATTTTTTTTTTTTTTTGCGGCGATATTGACAGTTATCTGAGTAGACAGGCAAGAAAAAAATGTTTCTTTCACAATGAACATTGAGACAGTAAATGGTATTTAGGTACTTTTTTTTTTTTTTACCAGCAATCTAAACTGAGTGCTGAGGAGAAAAAAGTAAGGCATGTCAATCACTCACCCATTTGCATTTGTTAAGTATGGTTTGAATATTTTTTAAGGATAAAACAGATGATTGATGATTATCGTTCCCAAATTACACTGGGTTACTGAGTCAATGATCAGCTTCATTAATGAATGAGAAACAGTGGAATTTGTTGAAGCTGTAAATTCCCAGGAAACTTTTCTGCTCTTTTCTTTTTTCAAACTACCTTTAAGGGAGTTCCTAATCTAGACTGGCACTTCAGCACTGTGGAACAGGGCAGTTATAGGCAGTACTTATAGACCAGTAAAAGTGCTCCTTTACCTGCTGTCTGGTGTGCATGGGCCCCTTGGTTTTGAACCCTCCTTGGGAGCTGCTCTCTGAGGCACTGAAGTGGTCTGAGCTCGTGGAGGATCTCTTGGAAAGGGTGTCACAACCCCCAACAAATGTGTTATCCAACGGGAGTTCCTGAATGACGTGATGCTTCTTGACTGAGACAGGTGTGTCGGCCTTGAGGTGGAAGGCCGATTGCGGCGATGCAGACTTGTAGTGCCGGGCCAGGTCTGGGCTGGTGGGTTTGAAGGTGGTGGTGGGCGTGGCATTCCAATCAAAGCGTCCAATCCCTTGCTCCTCCAGCTCTGTGGGCAGACTGATGCTTCCGTTGATTGGCTCATGGGCAGGGTCGTCAGGCTTGTTCCCCTCGATGGTGACAAAGTTGAGCAAAGAGCTTTTGGGGGACTTCCTTTTCTTGCGTTTCTTCTTCTTGTTCTGCTTGTTTTCTGTGTTGGGCGACATCCACTCGGCCCCCTGCTTTTTTCGCTGTGCAGCTTTGAACCGAGAAGCATGGCGACACCGCAGCAGCACCGTCACAAAGATGACAATAATCACCACTAAAGCGCCGGTAATGAAAGCTATCATTATAGTTAGATAGTCACCACTTTGGTAAGTTTCACTGCTTTCGCCAATGTTTCTGTCAATCGGGGTCTCCATGGTGCGCCGGATGAGGTCATAAATTAATGATGAATTGCCCACAGTGTCATTAACATACAGAAATACCAGCACAAGAGTGTGGAGTGATTTGGGATATCCCAGGTCACTAATGTTGACCACTAGTCTGTGTAAGCCTATGTCAGTTACAGCAGGTTTTTCCTCAAGCGTGATATTTCCAGTGACTGGATCGATTCTGAACAAACCCTTGTTATTCCCGCTCACAATTGAGTATTTCAGTTCTGCGTTCATCCCCGTGTCCCCATCAACTGCAAACACCTCTGCTACCACAGATCCAGGAATGGAGGAGAGAGGGACGAGCTTGAACGATGTGTTGGAGGGGGGGTAGATGACGATGGGCGTGTTGTCGTTGACGTCAATGACATTGATGGTCACCTTTGCAGCTGAGGAACAAGGCGGTCTACCACTGTCCACAGCCCTAACATCAAAAGTGTACGAGCTCTGCTGCTCCCTGTCAAACGACACGTTGGATTTTATCACCCCAGAATACGCATCAAGAATAAAGTTTTCATTGTCATTCAGGATAGAAAGAGAGACGGCAGCATTTTCTCCAGCATCAGAATCTGTGACAGTTATCACTCCCACCGTGCTGTATTTAGGTAGATTCTCTGACACAAAGAACTGAAAGTGGTTATGTGTGAACTTGGGATTGTTATCATTCTCATCCAGCACAGTTACAATAACAGCTGCCTGCGTCTGCAAAGGGGGGGTCCCATTATCTCTAGCTGTAACAGTGAAGAGGAACCTATCTTGATCCTCTCTGTCAAACACCCTGGATGCGGTCAGGACCCCAGTTTTACGGTCCAGGTCAAAAAACGATGCATTTGGTCCCAGCTGATACACAATCTCTGCGTTCTTCCCGCTGTCCTCGTCTGTGGCGCTGAGCGTGGTGAGGAACAGGTCGCGTTTGTTGTTTTCCATGATGGCCAGCTCGATGACTGGCTGAGTAAAAATAGGTGGGTTGTCATTCTCATCCTCCAGCCTGACTCTCACCAAGGCTGTCTGATTCAAGCTCGGCTTTCCAGAATCTGAGGCAACAATCTTAAAGTTGTATTCCTTCGTCCCCTCGTAGTCGAGCAGCGCAGATGTCTCTAACAGATACTGGTTGTCATACACAGCTTTCAGGTGGAAGGGCACATCCTTCTCTATGAAACAAATGACCTTGCCGTTGATGTCTGTGTCTTTGTCTGACACCGTGATGAGAGCTATCTTTGTATTGATGGGATCCTTCTCAGAGAGGAAAACAGTGCCATTAATGGGACTGATTATGTATCTCAGGTCTATATTGGGTGGATTGTCATTTACATCAGTCACATTTATGGTGATGGTAGCTCTGGCTGGACTCGAGCTGCCATCACTGGCTAAAACAGAGAGCTTGTGAATAGCAGTCTCCTCCCTGTCCAGAGGTCGCTGCACTGTAATTAGGCCAGATGTTGTGTTTAATGCAAAGAGTCTTTTTGTAGCAGGGGACACCTGAGTCCCAAATACATAACGTATCTCTGCATTTGCTCCTATGTCTGCATCTGTGGCTTGGAGCTGCATAACAGATGTGCCAATGGGGGAGTTTTCAGGAATATGCACCTCTGTCTGACTCTCTTTAAACACTGGTTTGTTGTCATTGACATCTGTTACTGTAACCTGAAGAATGGCAGTGCTGGATTTCTGTGGAACGCCGCCGTCTTCTACTTTAATCTTCATCACATACGTATCTTTCTGCTCTCTGTCCAGATTCTGCTGCACGATGAGCTGGGGCCACTTCTCCCCCTCAGGCGTCTCAACTATGTCTAAGCTGAAGGCACTCTGCCCGTTGATCAGCTCGTATTTGTGGACGCTGTTGGGGCCGGTGTCCGGGTCAGTGGCAGAGGGGATGGCGAAGCGGCTGTTAATGAGGGTGTTCTCGGGGATGGAAATGTTGATCACCGGGGACGGGAACATGGGGGCATTATCATTCGTGTCTTTGACGATTATTTTAATCTTAATCAGCCTGAAATAATCATTAGGCAGGATGACCATTTCGATATCAAAGGAGCATTCGCTGTCCTCAAACGAGGGGCCGGGGCACAACTTCTCTCTGTCGATCCGGTTTGATGTGGTGAATATTTCTCCAGTGCTGCTCAGAACACGGACTAGTGGGTTATCTCCCGTTTTGGAGACAAGCCGGTACACTAGATTAACACTTGCTGCAGTGGCAGTGTTCATATGGGAGATGTTCAGGGCCTTTGGTATGTTTCCAATGAGGACATTTTCTTGCAATTCCTCCCTGATGGGATAGATTAGCTCTTGAGCTATTGATGGATCGAGCCATATGCATGCGAGCAGAGCACCCAACAGGTAATAGTCTTTTAGATCCATGGCAACGTTATTTTGCTTCTTTATTTTTCTCTATACAAGCTTTTCAGTCAGTGAATCGTTGCATGTGATGGCAGGAATCTTCCACACCTACGAATACATAAAGTTTATTTTTAGTGAAGTCACTGTAACATGAGCAGTAAATGTAATTTAAGCAACAGTACTCTCTCTTTTTTTTTTTTTTTTTCCAAGTTTTCAAACATTAAATCTAACCACAGGGATTTATTATGAGAATCATTCACAAACATTCACAGAAATTAGCTGCAGCCATTCAGGTCTGCTGCTTAATCCTCCTCATTTTATGCTCACCAAGAATTTTCAGCCCCTTCGGCCACTGAACTTCACAACACATTACACAGACGAGGTTATTTCCCACTTAGATGCTAAAATGAAGGATTAAGGTGTGTGTGTGTGTGGGGGGGGGGGGGGGGGGGGGTGTCTAAAAGGAATGAATGAAGCCAGTCAGTCTGATGCTGAATTCAGTGAGGGCTGTTTTTATTCTACATACCCAGATCCGATGCAGCAGAGGAGAATCTGGAGTGTGTCAGCTCATTTAGTCTTCTCATCCGGAGAGATGCTCCTTTAGTTTCTTTTTATCTTTCTTTCTTTTAAGTTAAATTGAAGAAGAAGAAAAAATCCCTTCCAAATATTAAAAAAAAAAGAAAAGTAGGAGCAATCAGACAGTTTGGGGAAGAAGATGCTGAGCGCCCAAACTGGGGTAAATGTCAGGCTGCATAGCCCGTGTCGCAGTTCCTTTCCTCCTCCTCCTCCCCCCAGTTGAAGTTCAGAGATGGACAAACTGGGATCAGGCTCAGAGCTTTCTGGAGTCTCTCATTAGTCCCAGAATCAGGGCTCATCCCCTGCGCACGTCCCGAGAAAACGCTATCTCTTTCCTCCCTCCTCCTCCTCCTCCTCTTCTTCTCCCGGTTACCTGTGAAGGTGAAGGCAGCGACGCAGCACGAGCCGCGCGCGTCCCGTCATGATGACTCAAGTTCCAATAATCACCAGAAAGACACAAGGTGAAGAAAAAAAAATAGCAAAGGGTTTTATGGAGGAAAAAAAAAACGGTGCTGAATGTCCCGGTGGCTCTGAGATCCTGTGAATGAGAGCAGCCTGTCCCGTTCCACGCGCTGAGCGTCCGCGCCGCGTATCCTCGCGCTCCCACTCCCACAGCTGAATATCTCGCTCTAACTCTTTGTAAACCCACAGGAGTGGTGGTGAAGTATACCCACTACAACCCCCTCCCCTCCCTTACCCCGCCGACCCTCGTCATTGGACACCGCCCCATCCCTTCCAGACGCGTCTTCGACCCGAGCGGCGACGCGATTGGCTGGCGGCCGCGTCACTCCGCGCGCGCGCTCCTGAGGGTCGCGTCGGCGGGTGAGAGATGCTGCAGGCTGCAGCTTTAACCGAAAGCCCGAGGCTGGAGATGATGATGATGATGATGATACATATATAAATAAATGATAATAAATGTCATTTTATTGTGTTCCTTCAGGCAGATAAAACACTGACTCTACAGGGGCGCATCAACCTGTTTGCGCGTGCACCTTCACGACCTGCTTAGAATAAACAAATCACAACCAAAATTATGCGCGTGTGCGAGAGAGGATAAAAACTGCTCTACAGGCAGAGAATCCGCTGTGTGCGCGTTTGCGCTCCGTGCTCCACGCTTTGCGCCCCGCAGCCGCTCGTGAGCGTTTGTCCCTCAGGTTTAACCTTGGCCGTCCCTCCATGTCATCACAGCTACTTTGTTACAGCTCGCAGAGACGGATTCAGTCCAGAGGAGTCGTCTGCTTGCCTCCAAACAAAAATAAACTGTTGTTGGATTAATTTACAAAAATAGGTTAAATTATTACAGTCAGGTTTATAGGAGACTAATAATCCTTGCATTATCGTTGTGTTTCAAGAACCTTTAAGCTTCTCTTCAGACTAATTAAAAGAAACAAACAGTGTACAGATCAGAATTGAGGAGTTCAGATCAAAGACCCTCTCCAAGCAGCTTCGTGTTCCTCTCACCACAGCTGCCACTGTTCATGGCACTGTAGCCAACCTCCCAGGACATGGACGCAAGAGGAAATGAGGCCCTGGGTTCATCAGATGGCTAGTGCGAATGAAACAAACAAACAATAAAATTAAATTAAATTAAATTAAAATCCAGAGCCATCCAGAGCTGGAATCCAACACTTTCTGGTCATAATCTGAAATATTATCAGCTCCATGGAAGAAGACCTCCACTATCAGCAGAAAACACAAAAATCAGACAAATGGTTGATAAATCCTCAAAGGTCATTGGAGTATTTCTGAGACAATGAACACCTTTTGTTTTTTGTGGGGGTTTTGAGGGGGGTGGCACATTTAACAAAACTATCCAAGCCTACATGGATGAATTCCTTTTGAGTTTTCGGTCCCATCCCTGCAGGATGCTGCAGATGTGGAATAAAAAACTGAATCTTACTTTGATGAACTCTGCCCCCTGAAATGACATGTTGGAAGCATCACAAGATATCCAAGAAAAATGGCAGATTAAATGATGTATAAATCAGAGTGTAGAGATACAGCCGTCATCAAATGCCTCCTGCCTTATCTTTACTTAATTTCAGTTTTGTGTAGATAACTGTGTCTGAGCTGCTGAGAGGAGCGAGAGAGCTGTCATGGTGAACACTGCCATCTTGAGGTAGACCTTCACCAATGCCTTAATCCTGCTTTGAGCTTCAAATGGCCCATAACCTCCCAGTTCTGAATCAAGATTTCAGTTAAAGCCCCCCGTACCCATGAGAGGGTAACAGATCACACAACGAGGGGCTGCGTGAGGAGCAACGTGCAAAAGGCTGCAAAAACAAAAGTGCGAATGAGCAGCGGGGTAGGTAAAGGACACAGGAGCCACGGCGCCGAGGTGAGAACCAGGCTGCAAATGTCTCCCGAGAGTGCGGCTTAGCGCCCGGTCAGCAGTCCATTAGCACAACCAACCTCATGGCCTGACCTTTCTGCCTCCAGATTCAGCCGTCAGTGTCCTTAGCTGGGAGAGAACAGCTAAAGGAGGGATGTGTCACTTCAGCTCAAAGTCTGACACCCTGATGTGGAGGGAAAAGTGACAACATAACTGTCTGCTGGTGAAACACTGTCTTGCTCCGTTGGCCAGCTGGAGTCATTAGGAACTCATCACCTGCTCGTACTCACTCACTGGGAGTGCGAGTACATCTGTCTCGGGTTTTTTCTGCATAACAAGAAATATATCCAACTAAGTAGGGATTTGCCAACCTTGCCAGGTCTCTGAGGTGTTTCGGTGTGTTAGCAGGAGGATAATTGTGCAGTAATTGGGACCGCTGAACAGAAAGCACGCTCCTAAAGCCAGAAACTATCTTCTGATCACCAGCTCTGTGGAGGAATATGTGCTGTCTGTGTCATTTGTTCTAAAACCTTTACCTGGTTCCTTTAAGCAGGAGAGCTGAGAGTCAAATGAGCTTGGATTTAAACGCTAAACGGCCAAAAGTGAGCAAATCGCTTCAGTTTGTTTATATAAATTGCAGCATTACTCACCTCAGAGCACTTTATCAAAATAAAAAATAACTTCAAATCATACATTTAGTTCAGATCCAGATTAAAATCTTATTAAATTTGTTCATATTATAATTAAATAAATCCACGACAAGCAGCTTTTTAACAGATCAGATGTGGGCAACATATGGTCCGAGGGCCAAAAGTGGTCCTTAGCCAGTTTCCATTTGGCCCCAAAAATTCCTAACTGAAAAGAAAACAACTTTTAAATTAGTTGATGAAAACCATTTGATTAATGAAACTTAGAAATCTAAACGTGTGAGAATTCTATATTAGTGTTTTATGTTGTTTCTTTAGATTATTGTTTATTTTCCTTACGTGTGTTTGCTGCCTTGTTCAGTGTTTCTCCCCTCGTGTTGTCAGCTCCTGGTTCACCTGTTCCCCGTCCCAGTCACCCCAGGTGTTCATCGTTGTGTCTCGTTAATGTATCTTTAAGTTCAGTGTCTCTGTGTCCACCTCATCCGTGCATTGTGCTTCCCAGCCCTCATCTGTTTTCTCCGTGTCTCCCTCTGCTATTGTTTGTGTAAGTTTTCCTGCCTCGTCAGCTTTTGTTTTGAGCTTTTATGAATAAATAAGTTCTTGCTTTTTACTCTTGAGTTCCTTGGAGTCTGTCTGCACCCTTGGTTAGGGAAAAAAAAAACACAGCAGAGCTTGATAAAATGAAACATATTGGAAAAATACATTATAAACCCCTGGAAAGACTAAAACTTTTACTTTTCAGGTAATTGTGTTTCCAAAACTAGACTGAACCTTAAAGACTAAAAAAGCACATTAAAAAGCTATTTTTGTTTGTTTGTTTGTTGGTTGGTTATTTAAGCTAACAAATATATTGTCAAAAGTGCCAGTTTACAGAGTATGCTAACTATGCTAAAAAGAGAAAAAGCTGAAAAAAGTTGTTCCAATTATCTTAAAGATTTTTTTTTCCAGTTTTCCCAAAGCCCTTCAATCACTTCATATAAAATAACGTTGCCCACTGCTGTTCTAGATTTACTGTCTTCCTAGTTACCAGATGACGGATTTTACTGAAAACTGTCAGAATGTAATCGTTGAGTGTAAATCTACATCTGTTTAACCTTTGGAGACATCATGCTCACCACAGATGAGCCAACCGAACAAACTGTTCCAACTCAATCAGCGTTGTGTAGATAAAAAGTGGTGTGGTAGTAGCTGAGAGTCAGTTTGAACCCTTGTATTGTCTTTTTGGGAAACATCAGCCACACAATGTTTTGTTTTTTTAATTTATTAAATTTTGGGGGTGTAATAAACATGATGTTGGGCAACAAAGTCAATGCTCAATAATCCAGGTATACAACCCAACAATTTTCAGTCTGGTCATCTGGACAGTTTCTTTTTTTGTGCTGAAACGTTTCACCTTCCATCCAGAAGGCTTCATCAGTCAAGGAAACATGCAACACAAAACTGATTCTTCCCCCAACAGCTTACTCCAAAGTGGAACAAACCAGTTGTTTTGGCAGTACAGTGACACAGTTGGTAAAGCTACCGCCTCTCAGCGAGAAAGTCGCCTGTCCAAAACCCAGCCTGGGACCTTTCTGGGTAGAGTTTACATGTTCTCTTCGTGCATGCATGAGTTTTCGCCAGGTACTCCGATTTCCTCCCACAGACCAAAAACATTCAGTTAGGCTGATTGGTAACTCTAAATTGTACTTAAGTGTGACTCTGAGAGTGAATGGTTGTTTGTCTCATTTGTCTCTGTGTGTCCCTGTGATGGACTGGAGACCTGTCCAAGGTGTCATCCTCTTTTGGTACAATAACTGCTGGACATGGGCACCAGTGACCTCTGTGACTGCTCCTTCACTGTAGGTTTTTAACTACATTTTCCTAACCACAGACGCCGATGATTCTGTGCTGCGTGTCCTATTGGACTTTACATCTGCTTTTGACACCATCGACCATGGGGTCCTCATTTCTAGGCCGGAGCAGTGGGTGGGCATCACAGGGTCAGCCCTCACATGGTTTTGGTCCTACCTCTCTGACAGAACCTTTTGTGTCAATATCAAAGATTTCAGTTCAGCATCAGCAGCGCTTCAATGGGGAGTACCGCAGGGGTCCATCCTTGGTCATATTCTCTTTT